ACGGTTCGTTGCGGGAATAGGTTATTCAGTGTTTTGCTGCGAGTATATTTGGTATAAGTTAACTTGGGGGTCGTATCTAATTATTTCTGGTCGTTGATTTTCAAAGCAGCGCTCGAGAGTTGGAATGATGCGGAAGTTAACGAACGTGGTGAGGGCTATTGGCTCTCTTTCTCTCTCTCTCTCTCTCTCTCTCTCTCTCTCTCTCTCTCATCTCTCCTCTTCTCTGCGGCCTCTCCCTCTCCTCTCCCTCTCTCTCTCTACTCTCTCTCTGCTCTCGTCTCTCTCTCTCCTGTCTGCCTCTCTGCTCATCTCTCTCTCTGGGTCTCTGTCTCTGTCCTCTGTCCTGGGTCTCTGGTTCTCTTCTCTGTCTCTGTCTCTGTCTCTGTCCTCTGTCTCTGTCTTCTGTCTCTGTCTAACTGTCTCTGTGCTCTGTCTTCTGTCCTCTGTCTCTGTCTCTGTGGCTCTGTCTCTGTCCTGCGGTCTCTGTCTCTGGTCCTGTCCTCCTGTCTCTGTCTCTGTCTCTGTCCTGTTCTCTGTCTCTTGTCTCTTGTCTCTGTCTCTGTCTGTCTCTTCTCTGTCTACTGTCTCTGTCCTCTGTCCTCTGTTCGTCTCTGTCTCGTGTCTCTGTCCTCTGTCCTGTCTCTGTCTCTGTCTCTGTCTCTGTCGCTGTCTCGTGTCTCTGTCTCTGTCTCTGCTTGTCTCTGTCTCTTGTCATCTGTCCACGTCTTCAGTCTGCACGTCTCAGTCTCAGTCCCAAGTCTCGGCTGGCTTGTTTCTGTCTCTGTCGCTGTCTCTGTCTCTCTGCTGAGTCCTTCTCTCTCTCGTCTTCTCTCAGATCTGCTCTGCTCTCTCTCTCGATCGTCTCTCTCTCTCTCTCCTCTCATCTGTCTCGCTTCTCTCCTCGCTGCTCGCTCTCTAATCTCTGCTCTCTGCGTCTGTCCCTCCCTGCTCTTCGCTCTGCTCTGTCTCTCTGTTCTCTCTCGTCTGCTCCTTTCATTTCTCTCTCTCTCTATCTCTATCTCTCTCACTGTCTGTCGTCTCCTCTGCGCTCACTCAATCTCTCTTCTCTCTCTCCTGATCTTCAGCTCTCACTCTTCTCAATCTCTCTCATTCTCGTCTCTCCATCTCTGTGTGTGTCGGTGTGCCGTGTGTGTGGCGTGGCGCGCACGCGTGTGTGTGTAGTGTGTGTGCGTGTGTGTGCGTGTGTGGGCGCCGTGTGTGCGTGTGTGTGTCGCAGCACGCCGGTGTGTGTAGTATGTGTGTGCGAACTGTGCGTGTTGCGTGTGTGTGCGTGTGTGCGTGTGCGTCGCGTGTGTGTGCGGCGCGTGGCGTGGTGTAACATGAATTGTGTTGTGTATCTCTCTTCTCTCGTCTCATCGCTCTCTCTTGTCTCTCTGTCGTTTCTCTCTCCCTCTCTCGCCCCTGTCCGGTTCTCTCCTTGTCGTGCCCTCTCTTCTCCCTGCTCGCTCGCTTATCAAATAACGACAGGACCGAGGATATAACACATCCGGATGGGGTTAAGAGCCAGTCGGTATGCATAGACAATCATACACTGCTGAGACGCGCATATTAAACAGAACTAGAACAGAGGGCACTCACGACAGTGCAACCTCTCCGCCAGAATGTACAGTATGATGTATAGTAATGTAATATATTGTAACACCCCACACAATACAGCATCCCATACACATACACATACCATGCAGCATACACCATACACATACACACACACACACACCGCAGCACACAGACGACACACACACTACACACACAGCATACATACACATACACATATACATTATATCACATGCACATATATTGTATTACACATATTATGTAAAAGCTGGGGCACAACGAGCCGTATTTTTTCGCCCGATCGCGGTGCGATTAAAATCGCCTGCGAATTTTATACCGCCGATCCACGAAGGGCACACTAGCGAACATTTGAGAGCGTACGCGTACGCCCCTTGAACGGAACACACACGAATTCACATGAACACATCACGGGACATCACATGAGTATCGGAACAATCAGCCGTCGGCAAAAATAACGCGGACACGGGGCACGACTGACGAATTTGCCAGTAAGACAATCGCCTATACGCCGGCGTAAATTAATCGGCGAATAATATCTAACATTTTTGATACGTGCGATCTCGTACGGGCGTCACGAAATCGGTCCGTCGACCGTGAACCGGGCACACGGAGCGAGATTTTTCGACGATTTTAAAATTCCGGCGCGATCGGGCGAAAAAAAATACGCTCGTGTCCCCTACCTATAAGGCGACTGCTGCTGATTGCGATCGCGCGAAACACCTACACACACACACAAACACACACACACATTACACACACACCGGAGCACACAACACACACACACACACACACAATCACGACATACAGCATACACACACACAGGCACACACACCACACAGCACCAGCGGCCACTGAACAGGAGGCACGACACACACGGACGAACCGCACGAACGCAGCGAGACCGATTAGCATTACCTCCCTACCACTCCGTTACTCTTGTCTTCCGTAACTCGCGTGGGCGCAGGTAAACAACCCGCACTATACGAACTCTTCACCCTAGAACTCCTCAACCCTTCCCCCGGCATTCCCCATCCCCCCTCGCTCCGCTCCTCAGCGTCCAGAGAACTCCTCACCCTCCCCCACGGCATTCGCGTCCCTCCTCCCGACTCTGCCTCCCTCCTCGTCCGCCTACATTCCCGCGATGCTCATTACTAACGTCCCTCCTCTTTCCCCTGTCGTAAGGTGGTCCTGCTTCATTCCCCGACTCCTTCCTCCCTTTCACAACCGACCTTTACGTGATTCAACGCATCTCTCTCGGCTTCCTGCTTTCCAGTGAGGCGAGAGAGGAGAGGGAGATATAATGAGGGCATAGAAGAGCACAAGGGGAACGAGAGAGAGGAGAGAGAGAGAGAGAGAGAGAGAGAGAGAGAACGAGAAAGAGATAGATAGAGAGATAGATAGATGAAGAGAGAGAGAGAGAGAGAGAGAGAGAGAAGAGAGATGAGAGAGAGCAGAGAGAGAGAGAGAGAGAGAGATATGGGAGAGAGGGAGGGAAAAGAGCAGACCGGGGAGAAAGAGAGAGATGATGTATGATGGTAACATACACCTAGAATACGCGTGTGTGTGTGTGTGTGTGCGTGCGTAGCGTGCGTGCGTGTGGGTGTGGTGTCTGTGTGTGTGTGTGCGTGCGTGCGGTGCGTAGCGTGCGTGTTGTGTGTGTGTATGTGTAGTGGGTGTGTGTGAATGTTTTTTGGGGTGTGTGTATGTGTGTGTGTGTGTGTGTGTGTGTGTGGTGTGTGTGTGTGCGTGCGTGCGTGTAGGTCGGTTTGTGTGTGTGTGTTGTGTCGTGTGTGTGGTGTGTGTGTATGTATTGTGTTGTGTGTGTGTGTGTGTGTGTGTGTGTGCTGTGGGTGTGGGTGTGTGTGTGGTGTGTCGTCGTGTTGTGTGTGCGTGTGATGTGTGTGTGTATGTGTATGTGTGTGTGTGTGTGTGTGTGTGTGTGTGTGTGTGTTGTGTGCGTGTGTGTGTGTTCGTGTGTGTCTTTCCAATAGACCGCCTGCGTGTGCTGCGTGCGTGCGTGCGCGTGTGTGTGTGTATAGCTAGCCAATCTAGGCGTGTCATGTTGACGGTGGGCAGCATACAGACAGACAGACAAGACGATGACACACTAACAACATGGCAGCAATTACGGAGATTATGAGAGCAATAACGTATAGTCTCGCATTTACAATCACTCAAAAATGTTAATTTGATATTTCATGGCGGCCATTTTTAAAATAAATTGCCACGCCCCCTCAAATGGGAAACTTTATTTTTAAGTTGATCTTAATTGATTCATTGTGTCTAAAAACCATGGTCAAGTATATAAAATCACTCAAAAATGTTAATTAGGAGTGAATGTATGCTGTTATGATATTTCATGGTGGCCATTTTGAAAATATGGTGCCACGCCCCTTAAAACGACAAATTTTGTTTTAATTTGATCTTAATTGATTCCTTGTGTCTAAAAAATATAATCAAACATTTAAAATCACTCACAAATGTTAATTAGATGTGGATATATGCCATTTTTTATATTTCCTGGCGGCCATTTTGAAAATTAAGTGATACGCCCCCTTAAACGGCAAATTACGTTGGGGTCCACCTCCTATCATGTTTAGAATATGTCAGAGCACACGTGTACCAAATTTGATGCTTTTATCAAAAAGTGAACACTCCATGTGCTTAAAACCTCTACTAATAGGCCTATAATAAGAGTATGATGTGTTAGTGTGTTTGCATGTAACAAGATTGTATGCATTACGCATTTTTATTTCGCAGGCATTTGTAATACGCGACTACTGGCTGTGCTTGGTTTCTAGTATCCTGTTTGAGGCGGTGGAGTATGCACTGGAGCACCAGCTACCGCACTTCAGCGAATGCTGGTGGGATCATGTTAGTGCTAACCTAGCGCCCATATCTGTATAGTCATCGCCACTAGCGTTCTATCTAGCTGCCACCTTCTCATCAACAACAGCAGACAGAGTCGATGGCGCCATTTCTGGCATCATGGTCAATTGATAGTAAATTTTCTTAGTTTTATGTTTCGCTTTACGTCGGCATCGTGTGCCTCGGTGCCATGCCGACCACCATCATATTATGACACTTTATTTATTTTATTAGGGGTATATACAACAGTAAGCCTCCGCAAATTGTTTACCAATGTTGCACTATTTAGTGCATAGAAAAGACATTTTTGGCATTTTTTCCGGTAAAATTCGGCACTCGAGTGCACTAATTTGCAATATGCACGCTTGTTAGATGCCGCGTTGATGTCTAGAAAGCATTAGCAGTAGGATTGGTCTTGTCGTGGAATTGTATCTTTCCAGCAAGTGGCGTAGCCATGGTGACCGGTCGACCCTTTTTGTGTTTGAAACGGGATCATACTACTCTGTAGAAATACGCACCATAGAGCCTGCAAAAGCTTAGAGCGGAGTATAGAGCTTGAATCTGTGGTTATTTAACATAAATATAGTGTATGTTGTGTATGCGACGAAACAGTGTGAGTATTTTTAATTAATGTCTGTTCGATGCTCATTCAGGCCTGCTGCCTATGCATGGACACCGTCTACTGTTGTACAACACCTTAAATGTGACTAGTGTGTAATGTACGACTGTTTCGTGATTAAGCCCGTGGATATTTACTGAGCGTACATCTACTGGTTATACATTGTAGTGGATCCTGGACGTTTTGCTCTGCAACGGACTCGGTATCTACATGGGAATGTTGACGCTCGACTATTTACAGATTAAACCACACCATTGGCGAAGTCTGCGGAGCTTACAAAGGTACAAATGAGCATGTTACACACCTGTAAGCACGCTGTGCACAGGTAAGCACGTTGTATGCAGGTAAGCACGGTGTACGCAAGTAAGCACGCTGTACACAGGTAAGCACGCTGTTCGCAGATACGCACGCTGTACGCAGGTACGCATGCTGTACGCAGGTAAGCACCCTGTACACAGGTAAGCACGCTGTATGCAGGTAAGCACGCTGTATGCAGGTAAGCACGCTGTACACAGGTAAGCACGCTGTAATACAGGTAAGGCACGCTGTACCACCAATGAGCACAGCTCTACGCTAGGTAAGCACGCCTGTACACAGGTAAGCACGCTGTATGCCAGGTAAGCACGCGATACAGGTAAGCACGCTTGCTTACACAAGTGAGCACGCTGCTACGCAGGGTTACAGCACATCTGTACACAGAGTAAGCCACGCTGTATGCAGGTAAGCACGCTGTACACAAGTGAGCACGCTCTACGCAGGTAAGCACGTTGTATGCAGGTAAAGCACGCTGTATGCTAGGTAAAGCATCCTGTACAACAGGTAAGCCACGCCTGTATTGCAGCTGTAAGCACGCTGTACACAGGTAAGCACGCTGTACACAGGTAAGCACGCTGTACACAGGTAAGCACGCTGTATGCAGGTAAGCACGCTGTATGCAGGTAAGCACGCTGTATGCAGGTAAGCACGCTGTACACAGGTAAGCACGCTGTATGCAGGTAAGCACGAGCTGTATGTAGGTAAGCACGCCTGCTATGCCCAGCGTAAGCCACGCTTGTTTATTGCAGGTAGAGCACGCTGGTATGCAGGCTAAGCACGGCTGTATGCAGGTTAAGCACGCTCGTACAACAGGTAAGCCGCTGTATCAGGTAAGCACCCTGTACCACAGGTAAGCCACGGCTGTATTGCAGGTAAGCACGCTGTATGCAGGTAAGCACGCTGTACACAGGTAAGCACGCTGTATACAGGTAAGCACGCTGTACATAGGTTGGCACGCTGTATGCAGGTAAGCACGCTGTATGTAGGTAAGCACGCTGTACACAGGTAAGCACGCTGTACATAGGTTGGCACGCTGTATGCAAGTAGCACGCTGTCATGTAGCCGTAAGCACGCTGTATTGCAGGTAAGCACGCTGTATGCAGGTTAAGCACGCTGCTACACAGGTAAGCACGCTGGTATGCAGGTAAGCACGCTGTTATGTAGGTAAGCACGCTGTTACACAGGCTAAGCACGCTGTAACAGGTAAGCACAGCTGTATGCCAGGTAAGCACGCTCATGTAGGTAAGCACGCCTGCTACAGCAGGTAAGCACGCTGTACACAGGTAAGCACGCTGTATGCAGGTAAGCACGCTGTATGTAGGTAAGCACGCTGTATGCAGGTAAGCACGCTGTATGCAGGTAAGCACGCTGTACACAGGTAAGCACCCGCTGTATGAGGCCGTAAGCGCACGCTGTATGCAGGTAAGCACGTTGTATGCAGGTACGCACGCTGTACACAGGTAAGCACGCTGTATGCAGGTAAGCACGCTGTATGCAGGTAAGCACGCTGTATGCAGGTAAGCACGCTGAATGTATGTAGGTAAGCACGCTGCTATGCAGGGTAAGGCACTTGTTATGCAGTAAGCCCACGCTGTACACAGGTAAGCACGCTGTATGCAGGTAAGCACGCTGTATGCAGGTAAGCACGCTGTATGCAGGTAAGCACGTTGTATGCAGGTAAGCACGTTGTATGCAGGTAGACGTTGTATGCATAAGCACAGCTGTATGTAGGTAAGCACGCTTACACAGGTATAGCACGTTGTATGCAGGTAAGCACGTTGTACACAGGTAAGCACGTTGTATGCAGGTAAGCACGCTGTACACAGGTAAGCACGCTGTATACAGGTCAAGCACGCTTATGGGTAAGCACGCTGTATGCAGGTAAGCACGTTGTATGCAGGTAAGCACGCTGTATGCAAGGTAAGCACGCGCTGCTATGCAGTACAGCACGCTGTATGCAGGTAAAGCACGTTTATGCAGTAAGCACGTTGTATGCAGGTAGCACGCTGTACACAGGTAAGCACCAGTTGTATGCAGTGTAACGCACGCTGCTATGGCAGTAAGGCACGCGTATGCAGGTAAGCACGCTGTATGCCAGGTAAAAGCCGGCTGTACACAGGTATGCACGCCTGTATGCAGCGTAAGCACGTTGGATGCAGGTAAGCACGTCTGTATGCAGGTAATCGCACGCTGTACACAGGTAAGCACGCTGTTATGCCAGGTCGCACGCTTGGTTACATAGGTAAGCAACGCTGTATGCAGGTAAGTCGCTGTACACAGGCTAAGCACGCTTGTACGCGGTAAGCACGTCGTGTACATAGGTTGCACGCTGTACGCAATGAGCACGCTGTACGCAGCGTAAGCAGCTGTATGCAGGTAAGCACGTTGTATGCCAGGTAAGCACGTTTGTAATGCAGCGTTAAGCCACGCGTATGCAGTATAAGCACGCTGATACGACAGGTAAGCCACGCTGTATGCAGGTAAGCACGCTGTATGCAGGTAAGCACGCCTGTATGCAGGTAAGCACGCTGTACGCAGGTAAGCACGCTGTACATAGGTTGGCACGCTGTACGCAAGTGAGCACGCTGTACGCAGGTAAGCACGCTGTACGCAGGTAAGCACGCTGTACGCAGGTAAGCACGCTGTACGCAGGTAAGCACGCTGTACACAGGTCCCTGCAGGCTGTAAGCAGAGGCCGAGTGATGCGCGCGGCGTTCGCTCTACCGCACCTTCCGCGCGGTGTCGCTGACGCTGCCACTCTCACTACAGGGTGCGCTCACTAACTGCGATGATTCCACTGTTGTTGTACAGAGACACACCGACTTGTAGGCGGCATCGGTTCAGTCCGTACAGACTAATGGAGTTTGACTTGCGACCAACAGGCAGTCTGCGGCGCTGGCTCGCCATGCTTGTGCTGATATTCATGGTAACGTGCGTGCAGATGGCGAAAGGCTCATTAACCGATATTATAACCGTTTTAGTTGCATATCGATGCACACATCCGATCACTCGGCATGCGTAATAATAAATTCTGTTTTAATTGTGTTCTTAGCACTTTCGAACTATAGTAAATATGATAGCGAATGTTATTTATTTATTTATTATTTATTATTATTATTTATATTTTAGCTATTATGTTATTATTATTATGTCGTTTTGATAGAAGTTGAGCGTAACTCGTGCTACCTCTGCCGTGAGCGTGTGAGGACGCGTGATTGCGTGCGTGATTGCGTGCGTGCATGCGAGCGCGTCTCTCGTTAGTCATGCGTGTGCTCGTGTTGTTAGGGAAGGTAGACGACAGTAACTACGTGCATGCATCTCACTAGTCGGTATTCCTTAACAGGCTTTACTCGCTGAAGTGAATACGTTCTACCTGATGTTGGTGTTATGGATCCCGGCAGCTCACACGTTAGCCATCGTGCGTCTATGCGTGCAGGCAGTCCTCGCTGGGGCCTGCCTTCGCGACACGTTTCAGTATCTGGACGATCCGTGAGTACTAACCAGCCCTCCTGTGCCGACCTTGCAGTAACGATGACAACGAAAAACATCTATGTCACGATTGTGTCATTAATTAACAAATTAGTGTCATAACAATTGCCAATAAATAAACGATTAACAAATTATTAATTAGTGAACAACTCGAGCTTCGCCGCGATGTCCGTGTTTGCTCCGATTCACGCGTTAAACCGAGGATATGTGCACGTAACCCCTTCACGCTTTCTCGCTCTCTCTCTCTCTTTCGCTCTCTCTCTTACCCTTCTCTCTTTATCTCTCTCTCCCTTTCTCTTCCCCTCTCTATCTTTCTCGCTTTGTCTCTCGCCTTTACACGCCTGCCCGAAACCGCCACACGTGCTTCCCAAGCAATCAGAATCATGCGGATATGCCGTCAGCAGCTCCTACGGGGCGCCATGTAGGACAGGCATTTTTGTACCTATAAACTTGACAAAAATGAGTTTTGTGAACACAAAACTCAATTCTGTCAATCCTGTCCCACAAAACTCAATTTTGTAAACACAAAACTCAATTCTGTGGAACCGGTTGCCACCAAATAACTCTTTGTAAACACAAAATTTTTGAGTTTTGTGTTTACAAAATTGAGTTTTGTGGAACCGGATCGACAGAATTGAATTTTGTGTTTACAAAATTGAGTTTTGTGGAACCGGATTGACAGAATTGAGTTTTGTGTTTACAAAATTGAGTTTTGCGGTACAGGATTGACAGAATTGAGTTTTGTGTTCACAAAATTTAGTTTTGTGAGACAGAATTGAGTTTTGTTAGACAAAATTGAGCCCTGTCCTGTATGGCGCCCCGTAGCTTCCCTATGAGAAGCAGAACCTAACTAGCCAAAATAAATACGTATCGAGTAACACATCGGACCCTAACAAATTACATCTACGAGACCGCTTCAGAAGAAGTGACTACTCACGCGTGCCCATGCTTTGTCCATTTTACTACGCATATGTCCCACCGTAGAAGGGCACTCAACCTATTAGTGTTAAAATGGCGCGTGCATTTTGTGGTAGATATTCCGTCTTCGTCGGAATAATATAAATAACAATGACAGAAATACAATGACCTTGTTCGCCCGGAGGGATTGCCAGGTAGCTTTTGACCAATCAGCTTTGCGATAGGGACGTTATAAAACGCTGCTTAAGCCCGGCGCACACGTGAGTTATTTTACTCAAGTAAAATGACGCATGAGTCATTTTACTCACGTGTGCGGCGGATTTTCGTTGAGTAATTTGACGCATGCGTCATTTTACTTGAGTAAAATAACTCACGTGTGCGCCGGGCTTTAGTAACAACATGCCGCGACGTCGATAATTTGAGTTGCATGCGTAAAAAATACGCGTAATCTGCTGCAGCCTTAACGTGATCTAGCAACAATGATTTAGCATTGATTTACTGTTTTTACTTTACTAATACCTACCACGTTTAGTAACTGATTTAGCGACGTTCTCATTCAATCATATATGGTTCGATTAAACAGATATATATATATATATCGATTGCAGGAAATGTAAGCAGCTCGGTCGGCAGGCGTGGTTGGCGGCGGCCACTCTTGCTACTGAAGTCCTCATCGTAGTAAAGTTTGACTGGGAGACGTTTAGCCGGCCGCCGCCTGCACACATACAGTCGATCTGCTGGTCGGCATTCTTTCTGCTAGTCTCCTACACGGTCTGGCGCTTCTTCGTCAGCAGGGGGCGCGACAGCGCCGGTGACTAGTAAGCGCGCGACGGCTGAGACGTCGGTAGATGGCGCTAATCGCGTTTGAGCATTCCAAGTACGAATGATGTTCGAACAATATGGTATTGTTATTTTTTAAAGTAAGCATAGCAGTCGCGTTGACTTGCTACATAAAATGGTTGTGAAAATATTGTAATGTCACCATTGTTATTACGCTCACTCTCACATACACAAATTTAAATTTTATTCACCAATATTAGGAAATTCGTTTTCTGTGCTTTCTGCCTTGTCTTTTATTAGCAAGTAAAAGTATGTTATATGACGATTTTAAAGAACAATGTCCGTATATTAGTTACTCGTTAACATCGTGTTTACATAACTTGTTTTCCGATACTTCGCATGCACACGCTTACATTTCTCATAAAATACCCCGATATAAAATTACTCATCGTAACAGAAGTGAGATTATGGTTAGGGTTAACTAATCACATATCGCGATGAGTTGGGACCCAGTCTCAATATCCCTCTTTGTAAAAGAAAATCTGCGTGTATATACTGTGCGTCTATGAGCTTGTTATTCAGAGTGAGTGTGCCATTCACAAATAACTGTAACCAGAATTGTACCAAATTATACTTTATCAAGTAATCACTCAGATTTCCACAATCAGGGCCGGGATTCGAAATTAACTTCTATCGTAGTTTACGAGTAATTCGTGCTAATGTAGTGGGATTTCGCAAGATAACGTTTCATAAAATAATTACTGTGTTGCATCGGTGGTTGGACGCGCAATTCTTCAAATTTTGCCAACAGTGTGGTTGTGCCAACTTGACCAAATAGCTGTTTTCGGCGTGTGCAATAGCTCATTTGTTTTTTTGTTTACGTATTTTAGTAATGCTAAAACAAGTTACCATGGTATATGTCAATTGTATTACCCATAGGCATAGATATAGCACTAAATAGGAAAAAACAATACAAGCTCGGTAAGTTATTAGTAGCACGTTATAGTGTTGCCGGCGTTATATTTGTATGACGGGGGCCTAAGGCCACCTATATGGAATTGTAATAATAGAATAGTCTATGATGGGGCCCAAGGCCACATATATAGTATTTGTATGACGGGAGCCTAAGGACACCTATATAGAATTGTAATAATAGTGTATGCTGGGGGCCCAAGGCCACATATATAGTATTTGTATGACGGGGGCCTAAGGCCCCCTATATAGTATTGTAATAATAGAATAGTTTATGATGGGGCCCAAGGCCACAGTATTGTTTATGACGGTGACCTAATGCCATCTATATAGTATTGTAGTATAGTGTATGCTGGCGGCCCACCAAGGCCCCATATATTGTATTGTGTATAAAGGTGGCCTAAGGCCTCCTATATAGTAGTGTGTGGTAAGCCTTGGTTGTAAGCTATACCGCCTCCAGCAAAGAAAGGTAGGCTGCATCACTTGCACAGTGTATTATTGCGCCAGCCGGGCCCTAGGCCCCCGGTGGCTTAATGCAACACTTGGATGTGGATATCTGTCGCCTGCATGCGCAGCGGGGACCTTACATGCAAGGTCTTCCTCCTATTTCTTAAATAATGTCTACTGATGGAATGTTATCATATAAATCTATGCTACGATAACTCCTCTTCATTTTAAATGCATAATCTTTGCAAAATTAGATTTCTCTCGAGAGATATTGCGCATGCGCGCGCACCGTGTTAGGCGTGCAGTGCCGTCTGAGGCAAACTTTATAATATAGCTTGCTGCGGGGGAGAGGGAATAGGAGACTGAGGAAAGGAGGCAGGGAAGATAGCTGGGGGCGGTAGAAGAACAAGGAGGCCGAGCAAGGGACAGCGGAGTCAAGGGAAAGGACGCGAGGGCATAAAGTAGGTGTTTTGTACCCTACATGCTAGGGCGCTCTCCTAATTATAAACACAGGTCTACTGATAAAAGTTTATTAGGGAAATATATGCGGAAATATCCCCTAACAATTTTAAATGCATATTCATCACAAAATATAATTCCTCTGGTGAGATATTGCGCCTGCGCTAACACACTAACGTAGCCAGATTGTTTACTGGCTGGTATATACGCAACCGGGAGCTTCCATGCAAGATCTTCCTTCTATTTCATAAATGATGTCTACTGATAGAATGTTATCATGTAAATCTATGCTAGGATAACTCCTCTTTATTTTAAATGCATAATCTTTACAAAAATATAATTTCTCTCGGGAGATATTGCGCATGCGCGCGCACCGTGTTAGGCGTGCAGTGCCGTCTGAGGCAAACTTCATAATATAGCTTGCTGCGGGGGAGAGAGGATGAGAGACTGAGGAAAAGCGGCAGGGAAGACAGCCGAGGGGCGGTGGAAGAAGAAGGCTGAACGTGCGACAATGAAGACAAAGGAAAGGGCGGGCAGGGATGAAGTAGTAGTTTTGCACCCGACTGGCTAGGGCGCTCTCCTAATTATAAACACAGGTGTACTGATATAAATTTATTACAGAAATCTATGCTGAGATACTTCCTGTGCATATTAAATGCATTTTAAGCACAAAATATAACTCCTCTGGTGAGATAGTGTGCATGCGCTAAAACGGTAATGTAGCCAGATTGTGTACTGACTGGTTTATGCAGCGAAGACCTTACATGCAAGGTCTGCTTCCTATTTCATAAGTGAGATTTACTGATGGAATATTATTGTAGAATTCTATGCTGGGATAATCCCTCTTCATTTTAAATTCATAATTTTGGCAAATTCTTTTTCTTCTTAGAAGATATTGCTCATGCGCGAGCACCGTTTCAAACGTGCAGTACCGACTAATAAAGGTACGTAATATAGCTGGATGCGGGAAAGAGATGAGAGACTGAGGGAAGGTGGCAGGAAAGACAGCATGTGGGTGGTGGAAGAAGGAGGCTGAGCGTGCGACAAGGGCAACAAGGAGAAGAGCGGGCGGGGATGAAGTAGTAGTTTTGTACACTATTGGCTAGGGCGCTCTCCTAATTATAAACACAGGTCTACTGATCAGAATTTATGACAGAACCTGACCATATTAAATGCATTTTTAGCACAAAATATAACTCCCCTCGTGAGATATTGCGCATGCGCTAAAACAATAACGTAGCCAGATTGTGTACTGACTGGTTTATGCAGCTGTAACGTTCGTCGCGTTGTTTGTCAGAATATTGGCCGTAATCCTGGTCACACGCTAATGTAACGTTTCTCCGTGTAGTACGTGATTGACCTTCGTCACGGCTCACCAGTGTGACGTCTCTTCTGTTTTTGTGATCGTATAGTACCTTGTTGCGTTGTGTTTCTTAACCGACCGGCGGCTGTTGTCTGCGACCGTCGCCGGCGTTTCGGCAGGCTTGCGGAGTGCTTGAGTGTGTGTGAGTGTAGCTCTAGAACTATAGCCCTCCGTTCCGACGCAGGGGAATGTCTGGCAGAAGATGATCACATCGTCCAAGTACACCAGGCACTCCTTCCACTGAAAGCCACGCAGGACTAGCTCCATTAACCTCTCGAGGGTCGCGGGACTGTTTGATAATCGCATGACCTTGAAGTCAAATTAGCACTCTCTCGTGCCAAATGCGGTCTTCGGTGCATCTTGCGGATCCATTTCGACCTGCCAATACCTGCTCGTCAAGTCCAGGGTCGAGAACCACTGGGCCCCGCAAGGGAGTCCAGTGTATCATCGATTCGAAGCAGTGGATATGCGTACTTTCGGGTGACGTCATTCAGACGTCTGTATTCGACGCAGAAGCGGGTATACTTCCGTCCTTCTTGGTCACCAAGACAACAGGAGAGGCCCAAGGGCTGCTGCTGGGACGAATCATGCCGTCTCGTAGCATCTTGCCTACTTCTGTATTAATAACCTCTTGCTTTGCCAGAGCACACCTCATTGGAGCCTGTTTGATAGGAGGATGGTCTCCGGTGTCAATCCGATGCCTCACGAGACTGGTGTGGCCTAGTCCCTCACCAGGGGCTGTAAACAGATGTGCATAGGTCTGTAGTATCTCGGCCCCGTCGTACTTCTGGTCCCTGGTTGTCACCTCATACACCCCTTCCATAATGCGACAGAGATAATCAGGAAGGTTCGTTTGGCTGGTTTCTAGTTTGGCAGGAGCGGGTTTGCCTACAGCTGCCAAAGCCACCTGGACTGCCGGTTCCAGCCAGGCGATCTCCTCGCTGGGTTGATAACCAGCGCCGAGTCCTCTGAATTGACAATGGTCAGAGGAGTTCCCGGTAAATTCAGCCATAATCGCACCTCCGTGGGTGGCTGGAATTACTGTGCGATACGCTGCTCGCAGTACACGCCTCCAAAGCCCAGGTTTTGCGTGTAGCACATGCAGGACTCCATCAAGGGTTAAATGTCATCTGCCAACGTCTATCTGGCAGTCATGCTTCTTCAGAAAGTTGAGGCCCAGTAATCCACCACGAAGACTTGTTTCCACGACTAGAAGCTCATGAGTATATTGACGCCCATGGATAGTCAGATTTGTACGTAGTCCCCCCACTGCAGGGATGTCATTTCCCTGCGCATCTACTAGCCTCGACGTTGCCTCCTCCTGGTCGAAATGGCCCAGAGCCAATGCCAAGTATGACATTTGGTCCAATAATGACAATTCTGCGCCAGTATCAACGGTGAAATCAACAATCACCTCCTCCCCCTCAACGCTCTAATGTGACTGCACTACCTCCTCCCCCTCAACGCTCTAATGTGACTGCACTACCTCCTTCCCCTCAACACTCTAATGTGACTGCACTACCTCCTTCCCCTCAACACTCTAATGTGACTGCACTACCTCCTT